TGCTCCTGGCCATGGCCTTCAAGGCCGGCTGTGGCCAGCTTGTCTGCACCTCCTCCCACCATCTTCCCTTCCTCCATCTTCTCCACTTCCAGCTCTGCCAGAGACCCCTACTCTGAAGGCCACTTACACTGCGCCCCCCCTTACTGTCGCACCACCCAGCACTTACACGGCCGAAGCATGCTGTGTACAGTCCTTCGGCCCACTAGACCGGCCCCCAGGAGCACAAAGACCTTACCGCCTGATTTCCACTGCATCCACTCCCAACACCTAGCAGGCACCTCGTCCATGCTCAGTAAATGTGGAATGAGTAAAATAATGGTGTCAGTTCAAGCCTTCATTACAACGTGCTCATTATGAAATGAACACGAGTTTTCTAGATGAAAGTCTACACTCAAGAACACTCATGAGGGCACTGCCCAGGGCAGAACCAGAGGAAGGTGATAAGCATTTGAGTCTTCTGGGTGCTTCCTGTAGGTTTTTCCCAAGTCCTGTATCCGCTGTTTTCAAAGATTGCGGGGGCAAGAAAAGCTTTATTGTCTCGAGACTGCTCCTGGAAATCCCAGAATAACTAAGGCACCCATAGAATAACCGAGTGCTAGGAGTGGAAAGGAGTTTAAGGTCATCCAGAGGGTGGCATGTTCCTTTGTTGTAAAGATGAAGCAACTCAGAACCCAACAGAACATGAGACCCGCCAGGCCACACGCCCAAGACGTGAGGCCCGGTTCATGCGTGTCCTGACCGTGGGCTCACCAGTTACCGTGTGCTGGGAAGTCTGGAAGTGGCCGTTCCCCATCCCCTGGCTGGAGGGGAAGGTCACATGGGGGAGGAGCAAACCCCTCTTCCAAGCCTGGGCTTCCAGAGCAGCAGTCGGCAGGTGGAGGAAGGGCGGGCGTCAACCGGGGGCCGGTGATGATGAAGCTACACCCTTTCCAAGGCAGACCGCCTGTGGGGTGGTGTGCACCCCGACCTCACTGAAGGTTGGTTTTCCGATCCTCCGGTGTGGCCCAGTGAGGCCCGGCAGGAGGACAAGCTGGACATTCAGCTGCAGCAGGACAGTGGGGCGAAAGGAGTGGTCACTGGAACCTGGATGCCCACACCTTAGAAGAGCTGCTTACCTACTGATGGCTGCCCTCCTTCAGGTGAAGATCCTGGAAAAGATACCTGACACCACCCACCCCCCGGAAACTCACAGGCTCCTGCTTGTCTTCTCCAGGTGCAGCCTGCCTACACCTACGCAGAGGGGTATCCACCAGTCACGATGCAGGAAGGTCAAGCAGGGCATGTTCAGAAACACCAGGAAGACAAACAGCAACAACCGGCACCAAGAATATTCCTGACTGCGCCTTCACTGAGAGGTCCAGGGAGCTGAAGTAATCTGTCCAACATCGCAGAGCATATTAGCGTTTGGACTGAGACTAAAGCCCAATGTTCTATGGTAATACAGCTCAAAACCACGATAGCATAACGCTCTGCAAAATTCTAGTTACATTTAGTACTTTTGTCCATGACTGTATTTTACAATGCACTGTTTCATCCCACATTTAAAATAGCTCCTTTATTCATGCAAACAAATACTCTTAAGAAGAAAATCCCCCACCCAAACCAAGTGGAAGATCTCGGGAAGTTTACTGAGACCCGTGAGAGCAGAACACTGGGGCCAACACCGAGTGTGTCTGCTGCTTGCTCTGGCAGGGTCTTCGCTCTCCACAAAGACCTTTCACAGAACGAGGCAGTGCCGGGACAGCCCTTGCCTGGGGGCCACGAGCAGCCCTCACCCCGGCACGGCACACGTGCCAAAGCCTCTGAGGGCTCTTTCGCTTGGGACATAAATGAACGGTTTCTAGCAGAGAGACAGAGGCCCGCTGGCTCCTTCACAAACTCAGGGAGGTGTAACGAGAACTGGGAAAGGAGACCAAACTCGGTCAGGGCCAAACCCCATTGCCAATTCTGCCATGGCGAATGCCTCCAGGCGTCTCCTCCCTCTGCTCCATGGGGGGCTGTCAGGCACCTGTGGGGAAATATGCTCCTGGGTACAACAGCTCTAATGAAGCTCTGAGTTCAGTGACAGCAAAACGCTGTATTTATTTTTTAAGGTTTTTGCCTATGGTGCGTTGGCTTGCTACAGGGGGTAAATGAGAAATCGCTCCCTGGGGGAAGGCCACATTACAGTCGATTCTCTTCCATTCTCCTCTCAGTATTCTGGGCACGCACACACATGTACCCAGAGTGATTTTCAAGTCCCTTGGTCCAGGACTCGAACTGTGGTCGGCCATGTGGGAGTCTACCACCTTAACACCCATGCCACCTGCTGGCCCCCAGTCTTCATCTTAATGAAGTTGTAGGACTTTCCTAATAGTCCGTACAGCTTGAGGTACGAGACCCAAGTAGCTCTACTCATCCTTTCCCCATGCCAGCTCACAGGCATGCTTCCTTTTCTTTTCCAACAAGGGTAGGAGCTCCCCATGCCTGGGTTTCCAGATGACGATCTAGGCCTATAAGTGCCACCTGACACAGGCCTAAGACGCTGACTCCAGGAAGTCAGGAAAGATACCGTGCTTGAAGATAAACCAGGGCACGGACATAGAAGGGATGTGCCCTGTTAGGTGTCTATGGTGTAACCATCTCTGTCACCAGAGGTTTCTTATTAAAAAAAAAAAGATTTATTTATTTAATTCCATTTGTTATTATTTTTATCAGAGAGAGAGAGAGAAAGGGAAAGTGAGCAGCCAGGTCTGGGACTTGAACTGTGGTCGGCCACGTGGGAACCCAACACAGTTAACCACTACGCCACCTGCCCTGCCGGAGGTTTCTAAGCAGGTCTCATACTTTCAATCACTCGAGACATATGGGACTAATACCACTCTCTCACACAGCTCTTGCAAAAAAAAGTGACTCACTCAGTGTCCACAAAACCAGCTGAATTTATATCGATATAAGAACTCAAAAAACGCAGCAGGAAGGCAGGTACTGTTTGTTCTAGGAATGCATTTATTCATTTAACACTTGCCATATACCTACAATGAACTGTGAATTGTATTTTTTTTTTTTAATTTTAGATCTGTAAAATATGGTCTTGGGTGAGAGGCTATGAAAAGCAGCAAGTAAAGGTGAAATTGCTCAACTCCCCAAATTCTGCTTTGCAGCTCAGCTGAGGCTCAAATTCCCAAGGGGATCCCCGAGCTGGAGATGTCCCTGCCGAAGACGAGAGAAGGCAAGCCACCAGAAGCAGAGGCAGATGGGGGAGGAGGCCCCCCACTGGCCTACTGGCACACAGGCGTGGGGCTCAGCCCAGCAGGGCCTCTCACCATGGCCTCCAATCCGGTTTTAACCAGTCTTTCCTTCTCCCCAGTTAATAACAAACAAACAAACAAACAAATTTCATTGGGATATATATTTACCGTCCCAATGACTTTAGTAGTTGTTAAGGTCAAGTCTATTAAGTCGTCGGAAAAATCATGACGCATTTAGAAAAATACGCCAGGACTTTTCCAACGGCCCAATAAAATTAAAGTCAGCAGAGCGCGTGGTTCTCTTCATCCTTCGTTCGTGACGGAAACTCTCCATTCACAAAGTACACTAGAACAACGTGTTCCTACACAGCAATCCAGCTTTAATAGAAAGGTATTGAGTCACCTTGCAAACAAGACAGTCACTGCGATTTATCAACAGGTACGGCACTGGTGTCGTGTTTTTGTTTTGGCAAACTTAGAACAAACCCGGAAACGAAACATAAGTCTTCATCATCGTGTAGAAAAATAAAATGAACCTAAAGCATCCACCTGTGGCAAGTGATCCGTACTGCAAAGTAAAACTGAAGTCTACACTTACAGCAGTTTTCGAACTCCTTAGTGCAAGAAACATAACCAGTTAATACAGATCGATACTAATGAATGGATATGGAAATTTGTCCTGTACAGAGGTAGAGTCCCAGAGCACAAGGCTAAACAATATCCAATAGTCTAAACAAGGCTGAGTCAGGTTTTACAGAGCCCACTTGAAATTTAGGTTTCTCAGACTGTATGTACATACATACAATAAATAGGCTATACAATTTTTAAAAGCAGTTTAATAAACTCCACAAAATAAGAGCAGGTGCATTTAAATATTTACATAATTCAATTTTCAAATCTCTCGTTCAAATAAAAGGGATAAAAATAAGATTTCTGCTATAAGGGCAGCAGAACCTCTTTCCTGAAATGGTTGGGAAAATAAGATACTTTACATGAGAGGAACTAATTTATGTTTAAGAGGTATTCATATTCAGCTAAGAAAATATGTCCCTTTTTAAGCTATATAGATCAGGGAATACAAAACGATACTTTCTACATTTTTGGATCAGTATTTAAAGTCCTAAATTCAACTCTTGAAGAGAGAAGCTGATCTGGGCACCCACGCGGAGCGCAGGGAACACTTACAATGGGAAGGTACTCCGCGGGACATCCTGCCTGCTTGCTTCTGGAAAGGTAGGCCAGGAGGGCCCCAGGGCACTTGCGGCCCAGGGAGCTCTGCTGGACACAGCACGACCCCCACCGAGACCTGAACAGCACTTTCGGCTTGGTGCCCAGGGGATCCCAACTCCCCGAGTCTTCCGTTTCCAAAGCATGTTTCTTTGTGAGTGGGCACATCAGGCATGGTGGCGATGTCAGGGCCCTGGAGACCGACTAACGTAGGAGTCCAAGCTGAGGCAGGAGACCAAGGAAGCAAATCGTAGGTTGCCGTGCGCCTCGGACATCTGGGAGGAAAACACTCAGAAACCTCTGCCTGGCCTCGGAACAGGCAGGCCCTGAAGGATGGTGGGCGTAAGGGACTCCGACTCCTGGGCTGCATATCTGATCTGTGGCTTGATACCCCCATGAACACTTGTGTCTTAGCTGTAGAGGAGATTCCTACCCGGGCCATAAGGAAATCAGGGACAGCGGAACATGAAACACTGCGGCAACAACTGATGAAGCAGAGACCTTCACAGTCGGAGTCTGTGTAACTTCGCCAAGCACCCACAATGAAAGTGAAAGGTGAGTTTTTATTATTCAATCGTTCTGTGAAAAATACCTCAGTAAATACTAACATTTTTCCCTTCAGCGATCTTCCCCGGAATACCCCACCCACCCTTGTTTTTTTTTTTTTTTTTTTTAATTTTATTTTAGATTTTTAAAAAATTTTATACAAATAGACTAACTTTGATTTAAAGTAAACATATAAAAGTTGAGAAGAATATTGCTTGCAACAATGGACACTGGACGTAGAGAAGAGACGAGGCCCCGCACACAGAGAAGGCTCCCGGCTCAGGGGTCCCGGCAGGCCCTCCACCGGGCACCCTGCGCTGCAACGTCCGTCTTCCCGCCGGGTCTGACTGGGTTTGCAATGACATCTTCTGGGCAGAGGAAAAACAAAACAACTGCAAGAAAATCAGAAGGCACAAGCACCCATGTGATCTAGAACTTTCCTGGGGTGAGGAGCAGGAGTGAAAGGGCTACTTTTGGTTCAGCACTACAGTCAAGTTAATCTGCGCCGGTCAAAAAAAACTGTCTCGAGTACAGGGGTACAGAACTGTAATGACACCCCACTTGTGCGGAAGAAAGCTCAGAAGACAGCTCGCAAAACCAGTGCGGAGAGAAACAACCAGTACTATTTATTGGGATGTCCGTGCCATGGTGGGTACAAACTATATTCTCTGCTCCGTGGGACCAAAACCAAAACAGAACAGAAACCAACAAAAATCGCCCAGATCCCAAAAAAAGCAGCAAGAAGGAATGCGAGAAGTCTTACGGAACACGCTGACCCAGCGGTGACAAAGGCGGCACCGGCCTTTCCGCACATCCAACTGCGTTATCTATTCCCGCCGGACCCACGACCCAGACGGACACGTGGGATGTGGCAGAGCACTCAGTCACTCCCTGCCTCTCCACGGCCGCCCTCCCCTTGGCTTGCTCCTTGGGATGAGAGTCCGCTTCCTCCAGGAAGGCAGTGCTGATCCTGGGCGGGGAGAGGCGAGCTGGCACCAACGCCGACGTCCTCCCGGAGCCCGCTGCCGCTGCCGTGGGGGCGTTCATCGAGGCGCCGACGGCTATGAGTTACATGAGGAAAGGAAAGGAAAAAAACAAACGCAGCCACCCGAGTCTGTCTTTCTCAAACAAAGAAGCTGCGGGTGGCACAGCCCCGCAGGGGCTCCTCGTTAGGAGATGATGGCTGGGGACACCCTCGGCAGAGTCAGGTTGTCGGCACTAGCCGACCGCTTCCTCGCGGGTCTCCTCAGGTCCTTGTACTTGTCCTCGCAGAGGCGAGAGATGGCCTAGGACGGTAGAGACACTCAAGTTAGGGCTGAGCTCGGGCGCAGGCGTCACCTACAGCGCCCCCACCACCCTATGGCGTCAGTGCAGCTCCAGACGTCCAGGATCCTTGGTGCACTGACGAGGCGGGTTGGGACGGCTGCCCTGCTACACCCACGTCCCAGACCCTCGCTGGTCACAGCGGCATACAGAGGAGGCGCACAGTCCCTGTCGCTGTGGTGCTGAACGCACTGCAGACGCAGACCTGCGGCCAGCCAGGCTCGGGCTCAATGCTGGCTCCCCAGGCAGGGGTAGGGGACGGGACCCTGGGCTGCACGGATTCGAACCCTCAGTGTCCTCATCTGCAACTACGGCACCAGCAGCAGCTTCCTCGCAGGGTGCGGGGAAGCAGCGGAGCCTCGTGAGCACCCGCTGCTGGGAGACCACGACGCTTCCAGTGATGGCCAGCCACGGCCCTCCCGCTAACCAGTGACTGAGCGGAAAGTGACTGCAGTGTCGGAGTCTGTGCCAGCTGATGGCTGAACCAGGGGACTGGAGAGATCGCAGGGACAGAAGGTGCGGACAGCGAATGTCCATGACAGGGAGGCCACAGTGGGAGAGCACCATGGCAAGAGCAAAGGCACAGCCCTGCCTCTGCCCCAGGGTGCAAAGCCTGCAGGCAGCTCTCCCAAAGCTGCCGGCAGGGCCGTGGGGGCCTGAGCGTTCCAGAACGATCATCCTTGCTGGGACAGACTGGCCTTCGTTCTGTCCTGGTGAATATGAGTACTAGGCACAGCAGCCCGATGGGCACTCAGATGAGCCTCCCAGAATATGAGCACAAGGCACAGCAGCCCGATGGGCACTCGGATGAGCCTCCCGGAATACGAGCACTAGGCACGACAGCCCCGACAGGTACTCGGATGAGCCTCCTGGAACAGCAGAGCGGCTCGAGCTGCCGTCCTGGCCGGCCAGGTGCTCACAGACCTGCGGAGCTGGGCACCAGATACTCCCGATGGAATGCCACAGCCCGCCTTCCTGCT